GTGTCAGTGCTCTGCTGACTGACACCTTCAGATCGAGACACGTTCCTCAACCTGGAAGAGAATTGTCTGACAACCCTGTACGCCTCACGGGGCCTAGCCCCAGCAAACTCGATCTCTTATGATAGGCTTGACTTCGAAAATAACTTAATTGGTCTATGTCACCCACGATCACCAAAGTTGAGCTTCATTTGACTTTTGCTTTCCTTATATCAAGTAAGTTAATGCTTGCCCTTTGATGAGCGCTCAAGCCAATTTGTGGAATGTTTGATCACATGATCAGCATGAGCGGGCGCATTGGCGTCACTTTTGAACACTATACCATAGGTATCCCATCCGCAGATGCAGATAGTCTGCTTATAATTGATCATAGATGATGCTCGGTGCATAATCATCCATATAAGTAGCCGCAGCTTAAAAGCAAGAAAGATAATTCCCTCGGCTGAGCTCATCCAAGCTGACCTTCATGTTAGTCCCTAACACGCAGTAGAATCACTAGAAATATATAAACTCGGCACGAACCCGGTAGTTCCTCCATCATATCAGCAAATCCCGACATATCTATGAATGACCAAATACTTGATCGAACCATCCAGTCTGATCTGTCTTCTTTCAATTGTGTTATATATAATTGTGTCTCTGCAGCAGGGAATTGATTGACCCCAACATTGATCGCAAGGAGAAGGATGGAACTTCGATCGTTACAAGGTTGAGCTATGATCTGTAACACCTAGTATTACATGCAAGATACAAGTGAGGGACAAAGCAAATGTTGGTTCTAGAAAATAGACCCCCAGTCACAATTCAGACATGACCACTATCCGTCGCCAAAGTTCAATCGAAAATCTTGGGTTGAGGATGGCTCTGAACACATGTTTCTCCAATTGAGATAGAGCGATGATCCAGCCCTCAAGCTACACAAGTCCCGACCGGGATATTTTGTCTGTAGGTTTCTTTGCTTACCTGGTTCCTGCTACATCCCCTTCTCTTTCATTCCATGTTGAAATAGCGTGGACCGACACCCCCGCGGACGTCCTTACGGATGGATACAATGCATACCAGTCTAGAAGCTGAGTTACCTGCCACATAGTCAACGCGCAGTATGCAGGAGTTGCATCCAAATCAGTATCTGTTAACGTGACGTTGTTTGTTCTTTTGAGGGATCAACTAGAACGATCCTAATCCCGGTAAGGTTACAGCAAGCTATTCCGTTTGGTTGGTGGGTATGGAAGAACATCCTGAAGGATTTTTTTTGGGTTGGAAAAACTACGTGCGGCCATAATGGTGTTAGCATGTGAAGATGCTCGACCTATGACCTCATGCCACAGACAACCATATCTGTCTGCCCTCTGTGAGTCTGCTTTTATCAAAGTTGAGCCCGGGCTTTGGGTTAAGTCCAGGAAATCTCATGAATGTGACGCTGACATTCATGAAAGTAATCCTGAGGGGTCAGCCCGTTGTACGAAGTAAAGTACATTTACCACCTTACCAGTGCACAGACGAGGCGGCAGCTGCGACCCGTGATGGATGGATCCAACGGTCGCCTTAAATTACGACTAATCTGATCGGACTGGTAACAAAGGCTCATCCATCCGTCCACCACTCCAGGTACGTACCTGGTACGTAACTTCAATACTCTGTGATCATGTCAATTGAGTCAAGTATGTACATAGTACGTAGGGGAAAACTTACTCCGTAGACTACCCACTCGCTGCTCCTGATAGAAACTTTGTTATTAACCCACCATTTTTTTTGGCCTCTAGCAGTTTTGAGTTATTGAGCAGGCCACTGGGCACCGTAAAGATCTACGGTTATCCTAGTGCTTCTTAGTTAGTAGCTATTGTTCGGCGTCGCCTTTGCCCGTCCTCGAAGGGACCGAGGAATTCGGTCATAATACTGGCATATACAGTACATTCGTATCACATTCCTTCGAAGGTATTTCTACAACCTATAGGTTCTTACTCATTTCACATACATAGTAACTTCGAATAGTCGAATCTGCTCCCAATCTTGAGAACAGGAAATGAGGCCCCAGGGGGGCATGCTAAGCATCATTTCGGACTAGTAGTACTGGATCGCAAAATACTGTGCATACTACAAACAGCGGGCCCCGCCAATGGCATTGATTGGTCACAATCCAACGCATTGACCAACAAGCTCACACTGCAGGATCTTGGAATGTGTTGAGATAAGTGACAGCCTGCATGCTGAGATTAGGTGAGTCTCAAATACAGCCAACACGATTACATCCCCAGCCACTCGATACACCGTGGACCTTAGCGAAAGTTATTACGGAGACACGGTTCCGCCCCAGCTTGTGTGCCACTTTTGACAAGTGCGCACAATAGCGCAGATTCGGGCTTCGACCTCCACCATGTGGTACGCCTGTGGAAAGGAGACCGACCTGATCAGACAAGATCCATGGACAGATCCAAGGGAAATGCTTCCGTTCCTTGATCTGACAGCTGACTTATACTATCATGGTGAGAAAACTATCAAAACAGTATCTCACTGCTGGAAGCTGTGGTTTTCGAATGACACAACCGTCTACCGGTAGTTTCTTCCCAGTGGAAAGTGTGGTGATATCCGCTCGCCCCAAAAGCATTTTCGCCTTCATGGCCCCCGGAGGTGACGATCTCTGTTATCAGTCATGTCGAAAGGGGGTGAACGGGACAGGAAACCATACATAGTAGTTAGACTAGGACGAGAAATTTCCTGATCAACAACCTCATATCGTGATGAGGGCCATCGGCTCTGTACCAGTTCTCTGGTCAGTGGAGACATGTCCCACCCATTTCTCACCGACATGCTGCTAATCTACAATCTTCTCCCTTGCCCTCAAGGAAGCAATGATCGTCATTTTGAGAAGCACTGCTCAGCTCTCCAGGGCCAAGACAGCACCAAACAATACCATTGTTCGCTATTTATGCAGTATGCCGTTCGTGTTACCGCATCGGCTTGAAAGGTCGAGAAGCGCTCAAGCCCCACGGAAATCGAGAAATTGCGTAAGGTGAGTCTGTGTATGCGAAGTAACGAACCTACGTGGGTAACAGAAAGGGATGGAACAGATCAAAACATCCTCACGATGACCACAGAATCTTGGATCTTGTATTATCGATTGACGAGGAACTTGACTCGGGTCCTATGCACTATCCGAGGTCAATCGAACCAAAATCATGACTCCTCCCCATCTTTGAATCATTTAACCGACGCCATATACAGATAAATTAGCGGACTTGGAACCCGCATCTAGCTATGGAGCCAGATGAAATGGATCTTGTGCCAGGCAACAGACAAATGATTGCTCGGAAGGACTGATTACTAAGGGTCTGCCAGCATCGCCAACTGATTTTTGTCAGCGGGAGTCTTTCGATCGAAGATTTCGCGCATAGTCAGGAGGTGACACAGCATGGTTCGCGAAGCGAGGAAATAATTGGTGACCCGGCAAACGGCCGGGATCGACAGCGCCAAAGGGCAATGGATAAAGAACCGTTGCGACCGTTAGTAGTTTTCCAGTCCCGACCCTCCACTACTGGGTCTTCCTGACAGGACAGCGACACAGGACAGCCCCATAGGCATATCTGGATTAACATTGACCTGAATTAGTTATTACACGGTACAAATAATACCGGCATCTAGGCATCAGATGTGGGACCGGGTCCTATGATCTCTCTCAGCGCTGATCGCATAATCCCATCGGCACTCATAAGGGGTAGGGGGGAGTGTGGACGGCGCTTCGACCGTTTGTGGCAAGAGTCTAAAGTGACGGACGGGCGGATGGATGGATTGAAGCCCGGTGATCGTTCTGGCGACAAGCGCCTGTATATTGGAGCGGAGACAAAGTCCTGCCATCATTCGTATTGTTGATTTGTGATGGCTCCGACTAAACCTAAATGGAACGACCTTACTACTCCGCACTGGTGTTCGCCTGCGACAAACGCCGCCTTCCGCTACTGACACCTGCTCTGTTGACCTCTGTACTTCTTTGGTTTTGGCAGGGAGATGGGCATACGATCAAGTGAGTACGTACGAGTAGGAACCGTCTCCATCATCTTGCATCACCAGCAAGCAACCCTGCTAATGCGCCTGACCCCCTCCCCGCCGTTGAAATAGGTTCCAGTTACTGTACCTTTTGTCAGTGAGTGGCGAGCCACTTCCAGGCCGACTACGATTGGCTATGATCCCCCAGGTTCTCCATTCGTACCGCCGGCAAGGTAGCTTGAACCAGGGGCTGTCTTATTCGCCCGGATGGGCCCTGACCATAGCAGTGGAAGAACGAAAACAAGAATAGAAAAAGAAAAGAGTCCCCAAAGTCAGGGGTAGGGTACGGTACCTTAGTGGCGGTGGACCAATTTTGTCGACGGCTGGATCTCTCGACCACTGATTTGATGAAAGGGAGAAGGATCATCATCATCATCATCATCATCATCATCATCATCGTAACAAGTCAGTCAACTTTGCTGGTACGTACTGGAATGTCAAAGGGAAATGCATCCGAGGGCAAACATCTCCCCGATGCAGTGGATCCATCCCGGTAAACTCTCCGACGACTTACCCCCAAACAGGAAGCTGACAGCTGGGGCTTCGTCAAAAAAATCGGCTTAACCCGTGCCTCGCAGCGGGGCTTTCGACCTTTTTCCGCAATTCCCTTGCCTTAGCAGGACCTGTCTTTGCTGCAGCTAGACCGATTGGGGATGTGTATTCTGTACATTCGGTCACTCTCCACTAGCCATGCTGATGCTGTCTGTTCCCGTCTGGAATCTTCATCTTCGATCCCCGTATCGAGCCAGCTGACTGGCATGAGATCTCATCTTCCCATTGTGCGTTGCGTACATTGGACCATTGCCCATCGAATGGGCTCAGAAGTCCATATTCTCATACATAGTACTTATTCTGCGATCGGAACCGTCTCGATAGAATCGACCGATTAACGTGTGCATGGGCCACATCCCCCTTCCCTAGACTCAGCTGCGAGATTAGCGGAATATACCGCCTCTTCCAACTCATACCAGTTCCAATTCACGGTTGGCTTCTCTAGAGGGGGGTGTCTTGAACAAGGATGGTTCCGCGTTCTTCCGGAGAAGAGCGTTAGAATGGCAACAAAATGTTGCGGTAGTTTTGAAGTCAAGGTACAAAGTACTCCGTACGGAAGAAGCATAACACCAGCAATGTCGGCGACAATGATCACATACCAACCACCACCACTCGGCACATAGACTACCTACATACCTTCCACATACCTATCCAAGCCATAAAAACCACGTGTGTCACCGCACTGAAGGATAGCTCGGCCACCTCCTTCCGAATAGGGAGACTGAGAGGCCGACCCACTGCATCCCTCCAACCAACCTCTTGGAAAACACGCGAAGTGGGCCTTCCTCCATCGGCTCCAGTCAAACTGTCCCGTCTTTGGCGTACCAAGATTCGACTGGAGAAACCCTGCCCGAGAATGACGAATGCGACAGATGCCCTGTCAATCATCACGATCGATACCATGGCTGCTGTCCAGGCCTGTTTATGTTCCACTGTGGCTGTAAGTTGGTGCATGGTTGACAGGGAGGCCATCCAGGTGAGGGTAGATGACAACCGCTGATCATCATCATCATCATCATCATCATCATAATCCGTAGCATAATCGCCGCCGAGGACTGTGCAGACGGACACCGGATGAGGTAAGGAGGAAGTCATTCACATTCCCCTCCGTCCTCCCCCAAGAAGAATGTGTGGCTCGGAAATTGAGCAACAATCATTTTCTTACCCAGGTACGCGGAATGCGTAAGGTTATCATCTCCTAAGGAACCAAGACTTTACTCCATCTCTGTCGCTCTCGTGAACTACTCGATCCTTCCTCACTACGGTACCTCACACACACACACACCCCGACCGCCAGACGGATCTACTTCGGGTTCCGTGTTGGTGGCATAGTGAATCAATCACCGATACCAAGTCGTAAGCAAATCCCGAATCTCTGGACGTGGTCGACGCCATGATGGTGGTTATGATGATCCGCTAGGCCCATTTCCCTCATGAGGCAAATAACACAAGCCAAAATCAGGAAAAGATGGCAAAAATGAGCTGATCTCACAAGCGCAAACTAATCGCATCCTACGCGGACGACTGTCGTGAGATCGGTGTTAGTTAGTCTCTTGTGGATGCGCTCACACCTCTGCGAAACCCCCCCAAATTCAGGCAATTTTGCATTTGGGCAAAGTTAGCGTCCGGGCCCGGAGCCTGCGGGACGCAGATACTGCCTCTTCCAGGCCGTTGAACGTTTGGATTCCCCACTGCATCTGCCATGGACCCGGCTGCAGTGGGGGGTTCCACCTTGACTGACTTAGCGCGGTCAAGACTGAGGAGGGATCGAGGGAAGGGCGCATCACTTTTGTGCGTGGCACCCAAAAGTACGCGACTCAGGAAAGGCATGCAGGCTGATCCGATGCATACGCAGATTTCCAGCGGGAGTGAGACCGGATTATCCGACTCGCCTTCTGTTTGCCTCTTTGCTTCAATTAACCCTCAATGGAAATCGTACACAGTCAGAAGGTCATTTCGATCATAAAAAATCCCTCGTCAACATCACGGTGAGGCCATTCTCTCATATTACCTAGTATCTTTCCATATAGGAGAGTCTAATTTGCCGCGGTCGAACTCCCAATGCACATGACTTCTCGGCTTTATTCTCCGTGTCCGTGACGCTGGAAGCTATATTGAGCTCGATCGAACAATCCATGGTAAATGACCTGGACTGATCCAAGTGTTGTAATTTGAGTGGTGGATACACAAGTGGACTTCTTTTTCAAAAAAAAAAAAAAAGAAGAAGAAGAAGAAAAAAAGCGAGAAACACAATAGGGCAGACGGAGGAGATATTACGGAAATTTTCGCTCATTGTGATAGGTGAAGCATTCACAAGCAAGGTATGGAGACGAGGTAAGTACCAGTAGGGAGAGCTCTTGACCTCATAACGGTTGTCGATCGGCCCGCCATGCTAGCACGATTTGCCGTTCTGCAACCTCTATCTGTGGAAACTGTCTAGACTCCAGACTCTGCCTAGCGTCGCCTATCTATCGCTCATCGCCATCGACGGGGTGAATCTGAGCGGATCTTGGGGAGGGAGGTTGGTTGGTCTCTATTGACTTTTGAGTCTATCAGTGATGCATTGCTAGCCAACAGTCATCACGGAGATGACCACCTGAAGGGTGCTAGCACCAGACGAGTTTAATTAAATCGTCCGTCAATTTTCTTTTTTTCCCATCGTTTTTTTTTTTTCTTCCTGTCTTGTGGACGAGAAGTGCTTAGTGAGTGAGGAAGACTGGACATTTCAAGCCCCGAAGTCAACCCGTAGGATGATGACACTCTGGATCCTATAATGAACGGATAATATTACTGTCGTTGCTCCCGGCCGTAAACAACGTGGTGCGGTGGGTGGAAATTCTAGTGTCAACGGGAGGTGCAGAAAAGAAGGGCGACCGAATCCACCCGCGTCCCAAGGCAGCAACTACAGAAGGTGGGATGGAATGTGTATCATGGATTCTAAGTTAACTTACCTTTCGGGATTTACTTATAGTTAAGTTAAGCACGAGTCAGGCGGGCTTACAAACAACATCAAGCTGGAGCCCATACCCGACTTGAGTACCATAAAAAGGGGCTCAACCGGGCACGTTAACAAGCTGATTCATCTTTTGCGTAAACCCGTTGGAAAAAGGTAAAGCGAGAGGAGGCAAACAGCCTTCCTTTTTCTTTTGCCCTTTCTTCCAGAATTATCGACAATAATGATGCTGCTGCTGATGATGACGGCATATGCTAATCAATAATCTAGGTCGGAGTTTTACAGCCGTGATGGGTGGGTGCCCACTGCGTCCCGATGGTATCAACAAACACCCCAATCTAAATAAATTAAACTGGAACCTCTTGTCTCCTTCTGTTTTCATTCTTTTTTTGGTTGCGCCCGTAGACTACAAGGCACGACCACCATTCCAAACTAAAAGCCTCGGGTTGGGCCAATATATCGCAATCTATTAATCCCTACTGAGATCGTTTTCCCCTTCTTTTGCCCACCATGTGAGCGGAATCTATATTTGTCATTCGCTGTTGATGAGCTCAGACGAACTTCCTCCGAATCTTCCTATTTTGACCTTCTGAGACTAGTATATAGTCAAATAGATTATTCCGGACCCCCCCCACTGAACTGACCAAAAGTCAACTAAACAAGGCACCATGTAACCTGAACCATCCGCCTCCCCCGATCGATCATGCCAGAGAAGACACACACACAAGAAAAAAAAAGCCCATATGGCACCTGAGATATAGTCTTTCCCCCTACTGGAACTGCTTCCGATCGCTGCCAAATCAATTCCGTAGCTTATATCGACCCTAGGGTAATAATTTAGATAGCCAAAGGTAAATTACCATCCGGTAATTTCGTTGATGATTACCGAGGTACAGTACATGTACTGTAACTATCATCTACATGCTCTGGCCCTGGGGCACCTGGCAAACACCTACGGTGCCCGAATTGGGGTTCATACCTAGATAGGGCAAAAAGGTATAGTATTGCAACTCATTTGATTAGGAGAATGAAGTAGAATGATATAGGAGGTGCCCGACGCCAGAGTCGTGGTTTGTAAGGGAAATTACCACTTGAATCCCGAGTCATGAGTCGAAGCCAGTCAAGCGGCTGGAGAAGTTACTTCTGACTCGCCGACGAGGTTAGTTGACCAAAGCCCAGGGAAAGCTTACAGGTTGGCTTTTAAGGCCCGGGTAGTAACTAAGTATCTAACTTCGGAATATATGCATCGACCTGTCTCTTCTCAATTTATATTGATTAGTATCAGAATAGTAAAGTCTGATATGTGGTGACGCTCGATCCCGTCCTGGTCCGTATTATCGACAGCTCGATTGTCAAAACCAATTGCTATTTCTATTGCTTTTGTTATGACCACTGCCCATAATACCCCACCTTGATTTTGCTTTGTAGGAAAAGGGAGAGGGGGAAAACCTGATCGCTACCAGCCTGTCTGTCGTGTTAATCCACTAGGGAGAGGATCGGATCATGCAGTAGATGAGCTCATAGCACTCTCGAACTCCTCTCACGTCCTCCTTTCTTTACCAGATAAACTCTGTACAATACTTGCCGTAGCTTTAAGTGATATCACTATAGATACTCTGTCGAGCAGGCCAGGAGGCACATATATGTGTTTCTTATATAGGGGGGGGGTGGTGGAGAGCGGGGAGTTATATTGGGAAAGAGGTATATGGGGAAAGTGCAAACCGAGAGAGTTTTCCCAGTTCACATTAGTGAACTGACCACAGACCAGACACCGGGGCAAGCACCAGACCGTGGCACAATCAAGTTTTCTCTGGAAAAATCTGCACGATGCCCTTCGATGTTGGGGAAACTGATTGGTGAATCTCTGATGCTATGCCTTCGCTATTCCACAACTTGGTTCCCAGAATGGATCTGGACCTTGACTCGTCTGAGTTCCAGGTACAGGCTCACAGGCTTTTCTCAACATTCCCGATTCAGTGAAGATGGAGTGAAGACCGAGGGATCTCCCCTGGCTTGCACGCTTTCTGGCATGGTCGTTCTTGTTTCGATAGAGAGCAGGTTCCTTGCTGATGCTGGGAAAAGGCCTTGTTCTTGCTCTTGGAGACGGTTCACATGCGATTATGTTTATGACGTGCTTAGGGGTAGTGCTTGTGAGTAAAGTGTCTGCTCTCTCAACCTCTCAGCTTGAGGAAATGATATGGTCTAACTTCTATGGTGCTCATCTTCTTCTAGATCGAACTGCCTTTCGGATAGTCTTGTTGTTCTAACTATCACCCTCGTGTTTGAAGGACGACTGCGTATTATGGAAACGCTACGACCCTCCATAAAAGTATACCTGAGGTGGAAAGCCCTTGGCGGTGATCAAGAGCTGGCAGAGAATAGGAAGGGCTTAAAGATCTAATTTCCCTTGGCAAATATCGCATGAAAACATAAATAAACGATTGATACCCAGCACCCAGGTGTGCTTGCTTGGACACGGTCGAGGTGCGCAATGACCCTGTCATCCATACTAAGTTCTCGTGCTTGACGCTTTTAATGGGATAGATCGCTGATACCAGTATTTTGGCAGGCTCATACCTTCCCAATGATCCTTTCGGTATCCTCTCCGCTATTTTCAGACAACCAATGCCATGTGTGGCTGTCAATCGAATCGTGAACAATGCCTGCGCTTTTCCCCTGCTCCGTCGATGAATCACAAATAAAGCAACCAGCAGACGCACCTCGACTTAGGTATCCAACACACAGGACCAACTGACAATATGACACATGAACTAGCTCCTAAGATCAGCTCTTACCGGTCAGCACGCGCATCCAGTATTGATACGCATCGAACCTTAAACTGACATAGCTTGTATCGACCGAGTGCTACAGAATCCGAAATCAGAAAACCCCAATAGCCGACCAGAATGCACAGAACCTTTCGTCTATGACGAGCTTGCATAACAGTCTATCTAGTTTGGAGATAGCACATGTGAGATACTGTATGTACATACATGTACAGTACATGCAGGGTAGGCCCAGAGTGCGTGAACCAACCGGCTGCTTTCCGTCCGCAAGTGGTGCTGTCAAACCTGCCAGCAGAGATCCATGATCAGCAACCATCATCCAGAATTTGACTAACTGCATGAGACGAGGCGCAGTG